CTAGATACTTGGCATTGAATAATTGACATACTTCATCATAACTACGGATCCTATCTCCATATGCAACCATAATTAGGATTTCAATTCTTTGTTTCTCACTTAAACACAACACCACTGTATTGTAAAGTTATGGTATTTATAACTGTCACAATGATAAATATGAGGCACTATTGCATTTGCTAACTGTCGTCTTCAAAACAATGCCTAGCCGCTGTGATCGGGTGAACCTACCCAATCTACATAAAAACATGTACCTACAATCAACCAATACACATTTTTTGCTGTGGCACTGTTCTCGCATCAGTTTGTGATACCTACTTTTATTGTTATTTCAAACCATGTCCATTCCAATCGTTGGCTTTTTACGCACCTGTCAAAGTAAAATAGGCCAAACCCTATATCAAAGCATGTCCCTTCAAAAGGGCTATCCATTTATGCTTAAAAAATTAGGTAGTGCTATTTAAAAAAAATGTTGATATCATAGGTTTATGAAACAGCCCAAAAAAGGTTTAAACAACGTGGCAAAACGATAATTCCTATTTACTAATTGACGTGTTTTAGCGTTTTTGTGAAAACGCAACACAAAAGAAAATACAAATTTTTTGCGTTACTTCTGGGACACACTGTAGGTCATCATTTCATAATCTGAAGATAATGTGTCATGGATGTACTTTTAAATGGGTTTTCACATTTGCTACATTTTTGGTGCCTTTTTCTACAATAAATTGATCAATACAATTTTGAAAATAAAAATCATTAAAGGTAAGTCCAAACCACAAACCACAATAGAATTATAACATGTCATACTAACAGAACTGGAATGACAAACACATAACATATGAACAACTGCACAATTCCACTTGAGCCCTGAAATGCAGAAATCAAAGAGGAACAAATAAACTCATAGGAATGGTGTCCTCACTCCACTATTTTGCCACTGCGCAACTTTAGAGTTCAAATGGTTTTGGTTTACCTGTATAAGTAACCCATTTTTTAAATGTTTAAAATAAAAATAAGTGTTAAAATTCTAGACGTTATAATTGGTATTAGTACCATAGTAACTTAGGCCAGGAAAATAAGCTGGGAAATGACCATTTTGCGACTTTTTGTTTCGGCAAGCTGAATTTATCACTATAGATGCTAAATATTATATATAATAACATATTAGTTTCCACAGTCATAAAAATGGGGGGAAGATGGTTTACAGGGTGGTTAATTGTATAATTTTTACGTAAATTAACGTTTTTCGCTTATAACTTTTTTCCGTTCATTTCCACGAGAAAACAGTAAAGTACTTTTTTTTCGTCTTCAAAAGACCTACAAAACTAGCCCTCGAACGTCAAAAAATATTGATTAGATCAAAAGTTATAAACAGAAGAAGTTTATTCATGACTTTTGAATTAAACATTTATAAACTGCGTTATTATTACCAGAATGTTTTTGTATCGCATCCTCCCATTCCTTATCACTGTCAAATAACTCACACGAAATCTGGAATCGGTAAGTTGAACAGTTTACAAGTTATGGCCTTATAAACAAATTAACTAATTATTAGTCTGGATGATCCTGAAGATCTTCCACAATCGCACTGATTTTTTTCAAGATAGATTTCATAATAATACGTTAAAATCTATCATTTTTTTTTATTTTGTAGCCTTAGGTGCAAAATGAAATATATGACGCACTAGCGTGATATAGTTATATATTATTACATATTCGGAAAACTTATGAAAAGAGCTTTAAGTTAAAAAAAAAAATCGTCAAGATTCGTTGAAAAACAACGGTGTTGTAACTCCGAGTGTCAAAGTTGACGGCCGATTGTTAAACAAATTAGGTTGGTAGCGGCAAGAAAAAAATACTGTCATAACCAGCAACCCAAGTACTTTCCCAGGTAAAAATATTTTATTTGTGGAAGTATGTTAAGTGCATAAGAAATATTGTCAAGTCAGTGGGTCGCTTGATTTTCGGCAAGCCATGGGGCGGCGGAAGAGTGAAGGAAGCGAACGACAGCGAGTCCAAAGAAAATGACGATAATACTCATAGTCCTGCCGTTAAATAAGGGAAATTTGCTTGAAAATAATATATTTGACAGTCTGTAACTCCGTTGTTTTTCAACGAATCTTGATGATTTTTTTTTTAAGCTTAAAGCTCTTTTTATAAACTTTCCGAATATGTAATAATATATAACTATATCACGCTCGTGCGTGGTATATTTCATTTTGCAGCTAAGGCTAAAAAACAAAAAAAAATTCCAGGTTGCAAATTTGAAATTTAAAAAAAAATTATAGATTTCAATGTATTATTATGAAATCTACCGTGAAAAAAATCAGTCCGATTGTGGAAGATCCTCGGGATCGTCCAGACTAATAAATTAGTTAATTTGTTTATAAGGTTGTAACTCGTAAACTATTTCTTGCGAGTTATTAGACAGTGATAAGGAATGAGAGGATGGGATGCCAAAACGTTCTGGTAATAATAAAGCAGTTTATAAATGTTTAATTCAAAAGTCATAAATAAACTTCTTATGTTTATAACTTTTGATTTAATCAATATTTTTTGACATTCGAGGGCTAGTTTTGTAGGTCTTTTGAAGACAAAAAAAAAGTACTTTACTGTTTTCTCGTGGAAATGAACGGAAAAAAGTTATAAGCGAAAAACGTTAATTTACGTAAAAATTATACAATTAACCACCCTGTAAATCATCTTCCCCCCATTTTTATGACTGTGGAAACTAATATGTTATTGTACATAACATTTAGCATTTATAGTGATAAATTCAGCTTGCCGAAACAAAAAGTCGTGTCCAACTCTATATTTCCTGGACTAAACTAGTCAAAAAAGTTTATTTTTAGTTCCATTTTAAATATTTGTGTTTTATTTATAATATATTTTTTTGTTGTTTTTCTGTGCTCTAATGCATACTCCTTGTATGTATTATATAGGGTGTCCCAGAATAACGTGTACAACAGAAGACCACAAATTCGTGGACTCAAAATAGGCAGATTGGACTAATTCACCTATATCCGAAATCGCTTCGTTTGGCCGCTAGATGGCCTCAAAGTTCGTGAAATTTGTTTAAATTTAATTATTAACTCAAATATGTATGTATTAATCAATTTTTATTATTTTTTTGGCGTGTGGACTTTGCTTTCAATCCACAGATTTTGGTGTTATACAGTTTTTTAATACTCATACGTAACTTCTACAATATTGATGTATGGTGATAATATCCGTTCATAACTTTTTCCTCTTTCAGGCAATAATGACAACTATTTTTACTTGATAGGTGATACCATTTGGAAGTTTTTGGGCCTCTTGTAGAATTTTGATTAAATGAGTGGTTTGGGTACAAAAAAATATTTTTTAAATGTCTACATTATCTTGCCACTCATATTACAATACTTAACAAAGTGCTAGTAGTCACTGATTTTGTAGGTTGATTGTAATTTTAGATTCCAATTATTAATGAGTGTTTACTACGATAAGATATACCACGTTACTTCATTTTTCGATATGGATACACACATCGAACGAATTAGTTATTTACATGTCTAATTTTATTGAAATAATTCGTAAAAATAATAATACAATATAAAATGCTGGAGAAAAAAGTAACAAAGTTGGTTATTAAATTTAGTACAACTTATTATAAAAACTGTTCAAAAAGACCACTGTTGCTTCTAAAATAAAGGTTAATTTGGGAAAGAAAGTTAAAGGACACCCTTTTAAAGGCTTATTTTTTTTAACATTTATGGTACTTTGGATATGCCTCCACAACACTTCAGTGTTAAATGTGGAAGCATGTCCTGTTTTAAGAGTGCCCCAAAGATAATAGTTGCAAGGTGTTAAGTCTGGTGAACGTACAGGCTAGTTAACAGGAACATTATCCCCTCTACCGATCCATCAACGAGGGAATTTTTGGTTCAGATACTACAGTGAAAGTGCCATCGTGCATAAATCACATGTTAGCTCTGAGTAATAATGACACATCTCTCAATAACTCAGATTTTTCGAAAATTTTAAATAAAATTGGGTAGAATAACAGGGTCAATAATAATGCTATCAATGATCTCAAACCAAACATTGATATGAAATTCATGCTGATAATGTTTCACTTTGACAATATGTAGATTGTCTTGAGCATACACATGTTCATTGTGAATATTTATTATTCCGCTTCTAGTAAAACAGAATTGGCTGGTACAATGATTTAAAGATCAAACTGAAATTACAGTCAACCTACGAGCACTTTGTAATATGGGTGGCAAGATAATGTATACATTTAAAAAATATTTTTTTGTAACCAAACCGCTCATTTAATCAAAATTCTAAAAGAGGCCCAAAAACTTCCAAATGGTATCACCTATCAAATAAAAAATAGTTGTGATGATTGCCCGAAAGAGGAAAAAGTTATGAACGGATATTATCACCCCACATTAATTTTGTACGTTGTAAATTTTAAAAAACACTGTAAAACACCAAAATTTGTAGATTGAAAGCAAAAGTGTACACCCTAAAAATAATCAAAATCGAATAACACGTATTAATTATTTACAAAATTCAAAAAATTTTCATGAACTTTCAGATCATCTAGTGGCCAAACGAAGCGATTTCAGATATAGGTAAATCTGTCTATTTTGAGTCCACAAATCTGTGGTCTTCCGTTGTACACGTTATTCTGAGACTGCATATTTTTATATAATTTATCTTATTTATATTGCTGCTAATTTGTTTTTATTTATGTTGTATTCTAATTATTTTAATTATTATATCCGACTAGGTACTATAAATGATATGTATTGTTGGATGTGGAAATGAATTAATTAATTTGGACAATGAATTAGATCTAGTTATGTTGTCTCTAATTTCTTGGCCAATTTACAAAAACATATCATTGCCTTGACCAATTTATTGAACTGAAAATGGGTAAATGTAAAACAAATTTTAGAATTTTACCAGTATGGTGCTTTGTCCACAGTAAATTAGAATATATACAATACCTTCTTTTGATAACCTAAAGCGTTTTACTTTATCCATACAATAGAAAACCATATTCATTAATGGTTGCAATTTTATCATGGACTCCTCCAATGTCATTCCTTTTAATAGTATATTAAATCCAAACATTAGTACCTAAAATATAATATATGTGATAAATATAAGAAACAAATCACAGTAAATTTGTGGACAGATTTTTATGATTTGCCATATACTTTTATTGTATGTACCTACAATGAGTATTTCCTATCTTTCTAGTGGATGACATTGTAACCATAAAGTAGGGGAAACTATGCTTCACACATACTTTGTTTGACTTAAGCAAGCTCCATCCTATGTGGTAATAAACAGAGTAGCAGAGTTTATACCTGGTCATATATGTAAATGTAATATAAATTTATAAATATTCTCAATAATTGACGATGACTAAATAAATGAAAATTCGAATATCTCTATTATTGATTGCACTGATAAAATCAGTCATCAAATGCTAGATAAGATTGAAAAAGGGGAACTTGTAACTACTACTTTAAGTATTTCAGAAGCTCATAAAAGACTAAAAGGGCTTGAGATTTATTTTAACATCGCTAAGAATATATCACAAACTCTACTTGAATGCAAATCAGAAATATTTAACAATAAAATAAAAAGAAAAATAAAAGATTATTTGAAATAAACTAGGTTTTTGGTAGAGTGTAAGTGTATGTATCATCAAACGCCTATATATTTTTGTAGGAATATTACTGTCAAAGCTTAATGTTATTGCTTGATGAAAAAATGAAATGAATGAAAAATGAAAAAATGAAAATGATCAATATCCCATATCTCGAGTGTCACTCGATTATAGAAGTACTCTAGTACTAATAATTTGATTATCAAAATTGCTCGATTATGCCAATCACTTACTAGTTTTCCCCATTTATGTTAAACAAATAAAATGTTCAATAGAATTAACCAATCATTTTTAATTTTAATGAATGTACCATTTTACAATTACAAACAAAAAAAAAAAGAATAGCAAATAATATATTTTATGAAAATATACACAAAAACTGCCGACAATCCAAAATTTTTTAAATTTCTATCAAACCTCCACAATTATTACATCATTTTCCAACACTTTTAAAATTGTTTTTAATGTTAGAGGAGTAATGTCCCTACACGCCTCAGTTATTCTCCTTCTCAGTTCTTCTCTGTTGGTTTAAGATACTTCACACTTTTGATTTGATTTACATAATTTATAGCACAGGAAGAAGTCACACCATATAAAGACAGTAAATTAATAAACATTTTATTTGTTTATTTATGTTTATTTGGTAGACTTTAAAGTAAATTTGTCAATGAAAAAAATAAGTAGGCTCTCATAACTGAAAATAAATCTAAATATCATGTGCCATACGACACAAATTAAATTGGAGAATAATTTTTAATAAGGTTGTTTCCATTTAAAAAACAACACCAAAATTAAAGTGCTCTTAAAAAGTGCTCAGAGATAGTAAATTGATATGTTTCTAAAAACTGAACGACACAGAAATATGAAAATTAGACTATTTGATCTGGATAATCTCCTTACCAGTAAAAACAACGAATATGAGTAAAATTCCGTTTTCATTCTCTATTTCTCTTTTTTTTTTTGTGTTGTTAAGAAATGTATAATAAATAAAAAGTATATATTCTGTTGTTAATAAAATATGTGGACTAGACTTCTAATTATCTAGGGAGGGTTTGGATTTGCTACGACCAAATTCGAAGCCAGTTATATGGAGTTCCATTGTGTAATATTTACATTAAATCAATGTACCTTTTCAGTCTCTGGAAGTTTTAGAGTTCCACTGTCTTCTGTTTGTTTGAGCCCAGAAAATTGATCAGAAAAGTGAATGTAATCAACATATTCTTGAAATTTGTTCAGAACGGCTATTACTTTGGAGTCTAACATAGCAGAAGCAGCTTCAGCAATTTCACTCATTACATTAAATCCTGCATTTATGTTGAATTTATCTCCAGATTTACGTTCTGGACAAAATACACTTAAGTCTGCCATTTCTTTAGAAAGATGTTGAGCCGTCTTCTTTGATGCTATACAAAACACGAAACTGTCCATATCTTCTTTATTCATCCTCACAGTTATATGAATTTGGTCCAAAACTGGTCGCATCATTCCAGATATAATTGCTACCAAGTCTTGTCTCTAGAAAAAATGCCACCAATATAGTTAGAATTTAGGTGAATAAATAAATAAATAATGACTAGAAACAATATATTAACAATAGTACATTGTGTAATGAGTGAGGAAAAGTTGCCAATAGCACCACACGGGCGCAGTTGACGGAAAGCGCCCAAGTTGCGCTATGGCAACTTTTCCGAATGAGTTGCACATACTATTTTCTATCACAAATGCGAGTCGTTATGGGACCTATAGCGTAGGGGGTTATGTGCACAGAAAGTGCCGATAGTACAACGGCGCTGGAGCGTTGCGCTATGAAAATAACATCACGCCGTTGTACTATCTGGCACTTTCCATGCACATAACCCCCTACGCTGTAGGAAAATCATATAAATTATTCACATAAACATTTTGTTATACAGATAAGTAGGTAACAAAATTTAAAACAAATTAGTTATTTTACCTTTAACAATTTCAGCTCTACAAGCATACCCTCACAGCAAGTTCTTCCACTACACCAAAGAGTAAAAATATTTTCACTCTCTTTAATTAAATGTACATTTTCATTATTATCTAATGAATTGTCATCTCCAACCAAAGAAAAATTTTCTTCTAACAATTGCCTATGTGTTTGAAACCATGTATTAGCAATTTTTGTATTTTTACTTTTACCAGTAGCAAAATTTATAAAATATACTACAAGACCCAATATCATTAATATTTCTAAATAATAACTATCCCAGTTTTGCCTAAAGTTAATAGGTATTTTAGCTATAGTTATTTTTGGTTCCGCTATAGGTTTTTCATCTTTAATTTCAAAACCTTCAAATTCTTCATTATCTTGAAAATGTTCAAATTCTGAATCATCATCATCGATTATTATGTCTTGATCATCTATTACTAGAGTAGCTTCTTTACTTTCATCTCTTGATTTTTCTGATATATCATTAAGAGGTATGTCATCCTCCACTTCAAAATCTTCAAATTCTGCAAATTCATTGTCTGTTAAATCAGGGCTATATTTATCAGCCACACTAATGTATAAGGTTAAAAAAAATAGAAATAAATTCAAATACATTTTTTTTGATCAGATTAATTATGAAGAATTTACTTCATCTACAAACAAATCAGGGGTTACAATGGGGTTATCTATCTCTATCACCATAGCACAGTATTTGATTAGTATACTGTGAACTCGCGCCATTATTCCATGGCTAGAAATTGGCCTCAATGATTTGGGATCGAGGGGGATTATCGCTCTTTATCCTGCCTCATCTCGTGTAGGCCTGGACAGCCTTCGTAGGTGGGCCCCATCCGTCGTCTACCCCGACCGCAAATGCGGCCGGTGTAGGCGCTTTGTGGGACCTCCTTTTGTCCTGGCTGGGCCCCGCCGGCTAGGGCCCTTTCTTCTGGCGCTCTTCTTGCTTCGCCGGCTCGTCTGTGTAAACCCCGGGGGTAGTGTCATGTTTATGTGTGGTATGGTTGGGTAGGGTAGTGCGGCTATGCAGCCTGGGATGCGCTTTGCTAAGGTGGCCCTTAGG